AATTAAAAAAAAGAAAGAAAAAGAAGCTAATATAAAGTGACGTAGTGTTATATGTCGGGGTGGTTTTATTTGGAGAGACAGGTGGACGTGGTGGTATTCTGGCACAGATGCAATTAAATAAAAGTACCTGTGCTATTTTTAACGTAATGAGTGGTTAAATGTGATTTCTAAGTTTACTCAGTGCTGCTTTATGTTTATCTTTGCGACTGTGCATGAATGAATGAAGGAAGGAAGGAAGGAGGAGGAGGGAAGGAAGAAAGGAAGGATATTAATTACCAAGAATCCTATTAAGGGAAGAACAGTCAGAATGAAATTTAACTGGATGTCACTGCCAAATAACGGTGATTAGACATCCTTTGAATTTCAAAGTTGTTTGAAATAATTACGTGATTAAAAAGGTATTTATGGGCAAACAAGTGTGCTGTTGTTTACACAAAGTTGAATTGGTGTAAGCTTGATAGATTTGCCAGATTGACAAGTGTAAGACGTGCACGCTCACGCATGCATCTCTTACACACACACACACACACACACACGCAGGCATTGAATCACCCCCCTTTGACTGAGCTGTAATACTGGTTTGCAACAGTTTAGACAAGAGACTGTTAGCAGAAAGAAATGGTGACCTTATTTCATTTCTGTCATCCATCTTACGAAAGGTGTTATTTTAGCCTGTGCGTTTGCTCTGTCCCTCAGAGTTAAAACTTGGATCTCACTTACTTCCCCATGTCCTGTAAGCAGTTGGAAGAAAGAGGAGGGGAAAAGAAAACAGACCGAACAAATGCTTTGAAATGGAAAATCTGATCATTTCACCTCCCACCTCTTTTGTTTGCCCGTTTATTGCTGCAAAGCTGGAGTGCAGAGGAGCAGATGTTTAGCCAAACATGAAGGCGCGGTGCCTCTGTCCTTATGGGGATGGCTCTCCCTCCTCTCACTGCTGATGCATCGACATGACAGCTGCTTGATTTCATGGAGCTGCTAAGAAGCCATTAGTGGTATCAGTGAATTGAAACGGAACAGTGTCTCTCAGTTTTTTACCACTATTACAACTGTCTAATTTTTAAGCGTCATTTTGTGCAGCTTTGTTGGAAAATGTGTGTGTTCGCATGTATGTGCAAGTGCCGCAGCTGAACGTACAAAACCAACAAGAAGTGCTAATGTATTTGTGCCATGTGTTTTCCCATAATTTGAGAAAGAGTGAGCAAGAGCAAAAGTGAAAAAAGGGGAACAAATCTGTCAGAGTTTGTTTGCCATGTTGGTTTGAAATGAAAGCACACTGTGCTACCTCAAGCACACTCAAATCAGAGACGTCTCTCCTTGCCAGGCCAAGAAAAAGAAAAAAATCAACTCGCGGCTGGAGTTTTATTCTCTCTCTCTCTCTTTCTCTGCTTCTCTTTTTCTCTCTCTCAAATTGGAACTGTTGTTTTTGAAGAGATAAAGGGGGACATCCGCTTGACTTGAACATTCAGGAATTAAGGATAGACATAGTTAAGCCCTATTTGCATGTCTACCAAAGTCATAGCAAACGGTTGCTATTGACTAAGCTGATTAGGTGAAATTAGGTTCACGAGCTCTGTGTCTGGGGGTGCTGAATCTGACAGAACTTGGACAGCTTTTGAGAAGACAATCCCATGTGCACACATGGCTGTATTCTCTATAATCCTTTACTATTGAATATGGGGCTATCTTTTTTTTTTGGGAGGAAACCCATAGTTTGCGGTCTTTTGAAACTGAAGTGAAGTGGGATTTATTAGGTGTGCGTGATATATTGATCAAGTCATCAGCATGAGGCAATGCTTGTGTAAAAATATCTCACAGAATCACTCAGAAGTGGTATCAAAATGATGTCTGGCATTAGAATTGTTCTGCTGTTAATTAGAAGTGCGTAAGTGTGAACTTCAATTGATTTCTTCCAGATCAGATTACTTCTGTTAAATGCTAAGTAATACGCTACTCTCTTGCGTTTCTAGAAACTTTTGATTGAGTAGATCTCCACATTTTCATATTAACCAAAACGTCTCCACTTGACAGTTGGTGTTTAAAGGTTCACCCGCTGTAGAAAGAGTGCAAGATCAAAGTAAATGCTTTACCAAAATACACCAGAAGTGTCCTCCTCCCATTGATTGATTGCAGAAACCTTAAAACTACAGTGTTACGTCTTAAATCGGGACATGAATGAATCAAGCAGAAGTTTGAGATTACCAGCTCATTTCGAATTGAATGATAAACTTATTTGTATATCCATATTGGTATCGGTATTGGCAAAAATGATCACAGAAATGATCAGTTCTAACAAATGTTAAGTATTGTGCATCTCTAACTGTGAGTTTGTCACTGATTAAGCCTGTAACTGCTTTTACGACGTTACCCTTGGCTACAGTATGTACTTTATTTTATGTGCGACAAGATTTCTCATAATGTAAATGGTGTAGGCCTTGGGCATGACAGCTGAAGACTAAATTGATAATGACCGAAAAATGTAACGTTAACATCGCCATAACCACGCAAAAGATACCTTTTTTATGGTCTATATAAGGTGCTTAAGAGTCATGCTGTGAATAACTCCTAACCCAAATATTTCATGGCGTTGATGTCAGAAATTTTAATTTAGATAGAGATTAATTAGACCTACAAACAATCTATTGATAATAATGGCCATCTGGGAGCCCTGTCAAATCTCTGCATGTTAGCGCTGACACAGAGCTGTGAAATTTAGAGAGGAAGTAGAGGTCTGCTCTGTGTTAACCAAAATGATTCAAGAACTAATGTTAGACAGAGTCCTCATCATATTTTCTCATCCCTCCGCCTTGGTTAGTTATGTACATACGTACGTGTATGCACGCACACAAAAAACAATACTGACAAATTAAATAACGTACCAACTTTTAACAGATGTTTTTGTAGTAGACATTAATCCTAAAAGGGCTAATGGTCCTTTGAGGAGAAGCCACGTTATAGCAGAAGCCATAAAAGCCTCTAGGCATCAGATTGATAATGCTTCTGATTGTTACGGATCAAATCGGCGCTGCTGTGTGTCTGTCTTGGTCTACTGTTTTGTCCTGTGTGTTACAGGCACACGCCGGCTGCTCGCTTATTGATACGTGTTTACATGGCCTCGCAGGTTAATGTCCTCTCAGCTGGAAAGTTGGTTAGCTCTCAGATGATCTACCTAACCTTATGTTACCCTGCTATTTTGGTAACACTGCATGTTCACTGGATGTCCTGATAATGATCAGGGTACACAAATAATTGTCTAAAGTGCATGCTCAGTGACAGCCACTTTTAAGGTGAGCCTTGTCAAATATTCTGGCTATCTTTGACCATAAACGTCTGCCTTTCTTTATAATGAGAAATGCTTCTATATTTTGAAAACGAAGCTAATGAGATATGGCACATATGCCTCGTGTTGTAGAAACAAACAAACAGCCTCAACTGTTAATTAAGACTAAACAACTCAACACCCATTTTGGTTGTCTCTACATTTCTGTGTGGATTACATATGGTGGATTAATTACCAAACAATAAGCAGTGTAAAGTGCAAGTGGGTCACCCCGTGTTGACTTTCAGGAGACAGAAGACAGAGCAGCCAAATTTGGGAGGGAAAGGCGATAAGCTGCTTCTTTGCTGTTCGTCCCCTGGGCCTCTATTTATCATTCAATGTGAGAATTTCCTTGATGAAAGTCAAGGTTG